AAGGCTACAGGGGCCTATTCGTCTCTATCCTTTGGTCCGACTGGAACCATTCAATCCTTTGGTACCGGAACATTACTATAAGGGAAATAAATGCTGAACTACCAAATCCAATTTCTCTCATCACTTTGCATGAACTACCTGATTGACTGTATGCATTCTCATATAAAAAGAAACATTTTAGCACTTTATGCAAACTTTCCTTTACGTAGGACAGATTCTTAACTGTTAAAATATATTTTGGGGCAGGATAAAACAGTTAGTGGCAATAAGGTTGTCTTTTTAAGGCTGACATCTATAATATATCCTGACATGACCACAGAATTGGTTTTTAGATGTCTTCACCGTTACAGGTCGTAAGAAATAATACTTCACATAACTTTCGGTCCCTGACCTCGTAATCCCGAAGATTATAACTTTCTTTTACGTTCTTCATTACATCACTTGAGTGTTGTACCCTCACATAGGTTAACATAACGTAACCCTTTATCTATGAGTCTGTAAATTTTATCCTGCTCTCTCAAACTTAGAATTTTCTGTATGTTCCAATTGCGACCAAACATGTTTTAATGCTCCACCATTGCAATTAAGTCGCAGGAGCGGTGAGCACGAATTTTAGGCTATGGTAACTTATTTATTGGTTCGGGTTATTTCATGTATAGCGGCGCAGTTTGGCTCCGAGCCAAGCTTTTGGTGTCAAACCGGTTACAAGCAAGGATGAAGAAGTTTGATTTTTTGTTTATATACAATTTTTAGCCCAAAATCAAACGTCGTGCATCCGATTCTCTTGCCAAATGTTCGCTTTCGTATTCTCCCAAAAACTTCATATCGCCTTTCCGTAAACCACTTTTTGAAATTCAGAGGGTCTCCGCACATGATCACGTATGTCCTAGTAACGATTAAACCTGTCCCATAGGAGGCGTTAATAACTTCTATACTGGTTAGACCGTTCAAAGTTCCTATTCCAAACTACCAAGGTAAGTGCGTCAACCCTTACATTCTTTGAAAGCTAGTGGGTATGAGACTAAGGCCCTTGGAGTCAAAAGATCAGGTGCGCGAGTGGCTCTTCACGATCCATTTGAGCCGGATGCTCTGGTATTGTACACTCCTCCGGTCATGAATGCTCACGAAGCCCTGAAAACCGAAGTGTAAATTGTCCTCCCTGAATACATTTTGTTTAGAGACAAACAACTCGTTCACGTTGTTGTTGATCCAGTTTTAACAAAAGTCTTGCGTCCACATCAACGTGAGGTAATTACATTTTATTTTTCATTTTACTGTCTATTTTATGCTGATAATTTCCTAGTTTTTGTACTAAATGCCGGCGCGGCGCGTTCACTTACTCGAGGTCTTAGCCCAAGAGTTTATATTTCTCCATTCCCTACTTGTATTTTTTCATATGTCTTACTGTCATATGCATTATTTTTGTCCTGAGGAAAGTTGAAATTTAATGCTTTCGGTCCATACCAGACGATCGCGACGTAAACAAAACGACCATATTATAAAGTAGAGTGTCGACCTTCTTTGGATATCTTGTGCGTCCTAGTTTTGAAAATGGTTTTCTCTATATTCAATAGCGCCCGTAGAGCAATACCCTTAGATTTGGACTTAGGACACTCCTTCGTATATAGAACAGCGATAATCTCTGGGTTGTGTTCAATTTTGTACAGTTAAATGCTAGTTGAAGTGTGTGCATTCGCGTTCGAGGTTTTCAGCTAACTTCCACCTCTCAAAAGAATTTCTTTGTCACACACTTAACTGAAGGTTATGTAGACGACATGTTGGTGTGTATGTCGTCCAGTCTACTAATTTACGTATCTTCTAAGCTAATATGGCCCATTAGTTGGATTCAGTGCATAGGTTACTTAATTTGCTGTGCTTATTTACTTGTTCTTTTACTTATTAAAAATCCTTTGTTCAACAGTGCCTTTATTGCTTTTAGGGAGTTAAATTCATGTACGATTGCGTCACAGGCGTGCAGATCCCAGGAAACTACGGTTGCATAATGGCCGATGAGATGGGCCTGGGCAAGACTTTGCAGTGCATCACATTAATTTGGACATTACTGGTAATATTCTAAGAATCTTAAAGACAACTTTAAAAGTCTTTTCCATGAGATTCCCTGGAATAACCTGTAGTCGAAATCGAATTCATTTCACGTTTGGCAGTTTTCTGACGACTGAAAAATCTTCACTTCATCAATTTTTATAATCTGTTTGCGTGCTACTCCTGCTTTCATATTTTATGTTTATTTATTAATGTTCGTGCTACCAGGAAAAGCTGTTCTACCCTTTCAAAGTTTTCCAATCAACAAGGAAAATAAGGGCCTTTGTAACCTATGTTCGACTCGTGGCCTGTGGTATTATACATATTCCCTTCGTAAAAAGCGATCGACGTCCAGCGCTTGCATTGATTATTTGGTACCTTATTTTACTGTGGACAGCAGAAACCTGTAGGAGGCCACTTGGGTTTTTCTGTCCTACGTACCAAGCAAGTTTTTGATATCTGTTTAACTTTGATATACACTTTATTATTTACTAGCGCCAAAGTCCTGAGGCCAAACCCACTGTTGATAAGGCCGTAATTGTAACCCCCAGCAGTTTGGTGAAGAACTGGTACAACGAAATCAACAAGTGGTTGGGATTGAAAGTTCGACCTCTTGCCATTGACTCGGGCTCCAAGGATGACATTGACCGCAACCTCGGTAGGCATTTTTCATCATCGAGTATCTTGCGGAAAATTAATGGTTACTTTAAAACACATGTACTCTGCTGTGCCCCGGAATTGTTGCTATTATGCAATTTTATGGTTCTACTTTTCAAAAATCAGATCTTAACAAAAATTAGACAAACGCTTTGCTTGCATTTCAGGTTTTATTGCCGTTATCTGTCCTTTTAAGTTTCAATCTGAAATTAGAGGCGTACACTTAACACTTAACGGCTATAGTCGCTTGTAGCGGGAGTTAGTCGATTGCGTACGAGGGTAACTCTTTTGTGACGAGCCGACTAACTGAAATGGATACAATGAGATAGTGCTTGCATGTCATTTTCTGTTACAGGTAAACATATTTTCGTCATGCATGACCTCAAATAATACGAACTTTACCCTCTTGTCCCATTTCGCATTCTTCTTTTTATGCCCAGAGATTTTTATATAGGCCGTGGTAGCCGTCCTAAGTGCGGATTATATGCTGAAAGAAATACCGACAAAGACACGGGAGACTAGAGTGGCCATTTCCGTCTCAAGAACCGTAATCAACTAGCCATACTGAATCCAGAATTCTAAGCACACGGATTTCGAATTGTGAGTCTTTGTT